ACAAGTCATCCTGGTCAGTATAGATCATGCCCTATTTTATTACCATTACAGCATTCATTACCATTTGTTAACTCATTCAACTCTGTCTTCCGCACTAGATACCACGTCCAGGAAAAGAAGGGGCCTGTTCTACTTTAGTCAAGTTGTGCGTATGTGTGTGTGTGTGTGTGTGTGTGTGTGTGCGCGCACACGCACACGTGTATACTAGGGTTGGAACTCAGGGCTTTGAACTTACTAGGCAGGCATTCTATCACCTATCACTTCAGTCACATTCTTTTTGCTTTAGTTTATTTTCCAGGTAAGGTCTCACTTTTGGGGATCAAAATCCTCCTATTTATGCCTCCCACCTGAAATCACAAGTGCACACCAAGCTGGGCCTAGGTGGTAGATTGAGACATAGAGGATCTATGGTTCAAATTCGGCCTAGGCAGAAATGTCTGTAAGACTCCATCTCCAATTCAATAGCAAAATGCTGGAGGCATGGCTCAAGTGGTAGAGCATCAACCATGATCAATAAAGCTGAGCTACAGCGTGAGGCCCTGAGTTCAAGTCCTGGTTCAACCTTTGCCCAGGCTGGCCTTGAACTATGGTCCTTCTGATCTCAACCTCTTGATCATCTGTGATTACAGTGTGAGCCGTCAAGTATAACCCTGTCAGGTTTTTGTCGACAGATCTTAGTCTAGCAAGTGCTAAGTGTGTATGTATTGCATAAATTGTCATCAATGATATTACCAAGGAAATGCTTCCTTCAACCCATGGATAGCTTTAAGAAATTGCCTAACAATGATTTTTGGAATGACTTCAACATTAGGTAATACCCTCAAAATGTCCACTGGCTGCATAGTACATGTTAGCCAGGCTTCATAGTTCACTTAGGAAGATGAGCTTAGTGTTTGCATAATCAGTGGGGCAAGCTTCCTATTGGACGGTCTTTTAAATATTGTGTATTAAAGGATGAAGGGCAGGTGTCTGAGGTGTCAAGGAGCAGCTGTACCCTAGCATGAGATGCCTGCTGCCCGCAGCAGAAGAGCTCTGATGAAAAGCAGAGGAAATTACAGTTGTTGGTCCTTGTGGTCACAAGGGCATGTGTTGCATTTGCAAGGTCATCATGGGATAATTCAGGGTGTAGCTTGAACACATTCTGCTGCTGAAAGGGAGATTCTTTTTCTTACCACATCCGACACATGGTTTGCCAGAGGAAGGGCACGAGATCAGCAGCACTGATGAGCTGGCTTGGTGTTTTTAGGCCACATCTCTAGTAAACCATAACTTCTTCTGACTCCTCCAAAAAAGCCAACAGAATTTACTCATTACCAAGTGTGAACAGCAGTCACACAAAGCCTCCAGATTGCTTTTGCCTGCCATGCCAAAAGCCACTTTTCAAAAACAAAAAAAAAAACCAAAAAACAAAAAACAAGCAACCAACCAACCACAAAAAAAAAAATCTTAATAATAACACTGTCAGTACTTACTGCACTAAAACTTTAGGAGGGAAAAGTTTAACCTCTGTCTTAGCAGCAGATGAATGCAAGATTTATTTCTCTAGGTTAAATCTAGAAATTAAAAGAGAATAGGATATCATTATAAAGGCTACATGTAGGGAATCACACAGTGCACTTCCTATGCATAAAGTAGATGAAGAGCCAAACAAATGCTAAGGCCTATTTGCTGGCTGAGGGTGCATATTAATGCTCACTGCTCTACAAGCGCCTTGTGCTTCCCCAACACCTTTGGTGATGAGTCAAAGGGCATAAGACCATATGGCTGACTTGTTTGTTTGCCTGTTAGTGGGCAAATCACTTACATAGGAATTGGTAGCTTGGGTTACAATCTTAGGTTGTCTATTTTCATGCTTTGTGGTCTCTGTTAAATTACTTAATCTCTCTGAGCTCTAATTTCTTCATCTTTAAAGTGGAAACAATTATTTCATGGGGCTAAGAAAATAAAATAATTTAGATTAAATGTTTTGTGAACATCCAGTTAATTTTAGCACTTAGTTTTTGATCCCGCAAAGGTCTAGTAGTTCAAAGTCAGGTAACTGGGATCATCCCTAAGCAAACTGTGTATTACACACAGCTTTTAACCTTTTTATAGCTTGTTTAAAGCCCTAGAGCATTCTTTATCAACCTTATCAAAATGGCTATCAGTGTCATACTTCTTGACTGATAGACTTGTGTAGATTATTTCCTATGATGAGTATTTTTACACTGCTAATGTAACCTGTTTTGTTTTATAATATTACTCTGTTGGCTATAGCCATCTAATCTTCGATAAGGGAGCTAAAACAATAGAATGGAAGACAGACAGCCTCTTCAGTAAACGGTGCTGGCAAAACTGGTTAACTACATGTAGAAAACTAAAGCTAGATCCTTATATATCACCCTGCACCAGAATCAACTCCAAATGGATCAAAGACCTTGAACTCAAAGCAGACACTCTGAAAACATTACAGGATGGAATAGGAGAAACCCTGGGTCTCCTTGGCACAGGCCGAAATTTTCTGAATAAAGACCCGGAAACACAACAAATCAAAGAAAGGCTGGACAAATGGGATTGTATAAGGTTGCAGAGCTTCTGCAGGGCAAATGACATAGCTAGCAAGATCAATAGAAAGCCCACGGACTGGGAGAAGATCTTTACTAGCCATACAACGGACAAGGGTCTCATATCTAAAATATACTTGGAACTCAAAAAATTAAACCACCCAACAACAAATCCTCAAAGAAACAACTGCCCAATAAGTAAGTGGGCGAAAGACTTAAAGAGAAGCTTCTCTGAAGAAGAAAGAAGGATGGCCAATAGACACATGAAGAAATGTTCAACATCCCTAGCCATAAAAGAAATGCAAATCAAAACAACATTGAGATATCACCTCACTCCAGTTAGAACAGCAAAAATCAAGAACTCTAACAACAACAGATGCTGGAGGGGATGTGGACAGAAAGGAACCTTACTTCATTGTTGGTGGGAATGTAAACTTGTTCAACCACTTTGGAAAGCAGTATGGAGGTTCCTCAAAAGACTCCACATAGAGCTCCCCAATGACCCAGCAATCCCACTTTTGGGCATTTACCCAAATGATCACAAACAAGGCCACACTAAAGCTACCAGCACAACTATGTTTATTGCAGCATTATTTACCATAGCTAAGACATGGAACCAACCCAGATGCCCCTCAGTAGATGAATGGATCAAGAAAATGTGGTATATATACACAATGGAATTCTATGCCTCCATCAGAAAGAATGACATTTCCCCATTTGTTAGGAAATGGAAAGGCTTGGAAAAAATTATATTAAGTGAAGTAAGCCAGGCCCAAAGAAACATAGGTCCCATGGTTTCCCTTATTTGCAATATCTAGTATAGGTATGAGTCAAGCGGAAAAAGTCAAATAATGTGATGTTAGGAAAACGAAACCTCAAATATGTATTTTAATGTTTTTGTTTCTTTCATGCATGTGTTTCTAACGCATTTATAATATTATCTCTTTGTTGCTTTGTATGTCCCTCCCCCACAGTGTAACCCCCGCTTTCACTATATTTGATGTCAGTATAACATGTGGAGGAGATGGGGACAAACAAGTCGTTTAAGGATTCAGGTGGACCTGTTGCAACAATGAGAAGTACAAAATGTCATGTCAAAACCAGCTTTACAATGTCGGGGGGGGGGGGGGAGGGGGGGGTATGATTGGGTGGGAGGGAGGGGGGAGGCTGGGAAGGGAGGTGAAGGGTAAACAAAGGAGGAGGCTGCAATGCTTGGTAAGAAATGTATGCATTATCCTGCCCATGTAATTGTAACCCCTCTGTACAGTATGTTCTCAAATAAAATAAAATTAAATTAAAAAAAAAAAATATTACTCTGTTGGGGGACCGGTGGGGCATGACAATCCTGAGGCTTATACTTAGGGACTAGGCAATATTCCTAAGGTTAGCTTTTTTAATACTGTTTTTCAGTTTATTTGCTCAAGGGTTAGGGCTCTACCACTAGCCAAGTTCTACTCCTGTTCTCTGGTGGAAAACTGGAGCTAAAAGTCTCAGAGACTTGCCTGCCCAAGCTGAGCAGGAAACTGATTCTCAGATCTGAGCCTAATTTTTTATTGTAAAGATACTATACAGAGGGTTACAGTTACATGAATAAGAGCATTGTTACCCCCTCCATTGTTTTCCCCCTACCATCCCTTCCCTCCCTACCTTCCTCGAGGTTCTTTTTTTTTAAATTGTGATTAAGTGATTACATAATTTCCCAAATTTCACAGTATTGTGGAATAATGATGCTCATTTAAAGTCACAAGTTCATTCTAACTTTCCTGGAGCAAATTGTCTATCACAGTCTATAACATATAAAGGTGTACACATATACACAGCAGCATGGGAATATTCAGTAGTGGTTCGACCAGATGAGTGGGAGTTCTTTGTTTCTTAAGTCCTGTTAATTTTGTCATGTCACCTAACATTTTGGATTTAGCATCCACTTATCAGGGAGACCATGTACCCTTTGTCTCTTTGCTCTTGGCTTACCTCGCTCAACATGATTCCTTCTAGCTCCATCCACTTCCCTGCTAATGCCATTATTTTGTTATTCTAATGGCTGCATAATATTCCATTGTGTATAGATACCACAATTTTTGGATCCATTCATCTGTGGTGGGGCATCTGGGTTGTTTCCATATTCTAGCTATTGTGAACAGTGCTGCAATAAACATGGAGGTGCACGTGTCCTTGTATATTAGTATCCAGCATCTTAAAGTGTGTGACTTTGGTTGGTAATTTGGAAACAGAAAAAAAAAATTACATTATAGTTCCAGAGAACTATGTAGTATCAGTCCAGGAAATAATAAATATCTTTGTTTATATAAGCAAATTAGAAGGTAGGGTGATTATGGATTTCAGTTACAAGTTAAGGAGAAGGATGAAAATAAGGTCCTAGAATTTAACTTACCGAACTTTCTCAGGGCATAGTCAAACACTTATGTATAGAAAGAGTGTGAAGTAAGTGGTATATAAGGAAAACTTATTTTTTATTTGTAGGACAGAGATGACTTATCCAGACATCATATAGGAGATGAAAAAACACAAAAATGGGATTTTTTGACAGCATTACATCGCAATCAGATAACTCTGAAAAAAAAAAAAAAAAAACCAGGCTGTAATAAAATCCCTTTCTGTTTGATGACTGGACACAACTCTATGACTTAGAAGTAAGTTAGTTCATCACAATACCCAGCAACTGAAATAAAGCAAAGAAGCTTGATATATATATATATATGTAAGTATAATTGAAATAAAAATTTATCATCATCATGAATAACTTTAGAACTGTGATGAGGGGACTTTAATTCCTATAGAAATCTGTTTTTCATATGGAAGTATTTCATACTCAAGAACTAAAGTTTGTTCCCATTAACTTTTACACTGCCTCTTTCTTTGTTTATATGTGTTTTACAGAGACAGTGGAAGTTTAGAAAACGGTAATCGGCATTTTATTATTTTATTTTATTGAGACAGGATCTCATCATATAGACCAGGCTAGTCTGGTCTCAGCATCTCCATTGCTGGGATTTTAAGCTGATGCCATCACACCCAACTTTCATCTTGATTTCTAATAAAGGCCACATATGTCAAATTTTTGTTTTGCATTTTGTGTTGACTTTGGCTGAATTGTTGAGAGTGAATCTGAAACCATTTTAAAGTTGAGCATTGGTATGTGTGTTGTTCCATATAAATTAGTTTTCTTTCTTTCTTTTTTTGTTTTAATCGGTCCTGGGGCTTGAATTCTAGGCCTGGGCACTGTCCCTCAGCTCTTCAGCTCAAGGATAGCACAGTCTACCACTTAAGCCACAACACCACTTCCAGTGGTTTATTGGTGATAAGACTCTCATGGACTTTCTTGACCCTGCTGGCTTTGAACTGTGATCCTCAGATCTCAGCCTCCTGAGTAGCTAGGATTACAGGCGTGAGCCCCTGGTGCCTGGCTTAGTCTTCTTTTTTAATAATGAAAATACTGTCTGCCCTGAGTTTGGATTTGACACTTAAAATAAATTACACTTTTAACTCAGATTTTCCTTATAACGTTTATGTTTCCTTTTCTTTGTATTAAAAAAACAGCCTTAGTAAATATAGTGAGTAGTATATGAATAATAATGAACATTCAGATATTCTATAAGGTTAACAGCACTACACAAAATCTTATGTTTGAAACTGTCACTTTTTGGGTTTCCAAACACAATTTCTAAGGAATACATTGTGCAAATGAACTTACATTTAATTATTCTGCAGAACTGACTCACCAATAGCAGTAAACAGGGACAGGAACACAAATTTATAATGTGGCTACAAATACAAACAAAATTAACTGGTCAGATGATATACTTCTGGAAATGTCACCCTTTAAATTTTAAGATTCCCTGGGTCAGTACTAAGTTCATTCTAACGAGTAATGTCTCCAAGTTGATAAGTTTTCATTCACATAGGAGAATTACAATGATTTCCTCGGTTGGTTGGTTGGTTGGTTGGTTGGTTGATTCCTTCCTTCTTTTGTTTCTTCCTGTACTGAAGCTTGAACACAGGGCCTCCCTCTTTCTCTCTTGGCTTGATTGCACATAGTAGGTGCTCTACCATTTGAGCAAATTCTCTAGCCTAGCATTTTGCTCATTATTTTGGAGATGGAATCTCACAGACTTTTCTTCAGAGGCTGGCTTTTAACTGGGTCCTCTGAATTTTTTTTTTTTGTTAGACATAGGGCTTGAACTCTGGGCCTGGGCGCTGTCCCTCAGCTCTTCAGTTTAAGGCTAGCACTCTACCACTTGAGCCACAGCGACACTTCCGTTTTCTGGTGGTTTATTGTAGATAAGAGTTTCACAGACTTTCCTGCCCAGGCTGTCTTTGAACCCTGATCCTCAGATCTCAGCCTCCTGAGTAGTTAGGATTACAGATGTGAGCCACCAACACCCAGCTATGAACTTTTTGAGTAGAATTAGAATTAGAATTAGAATTACAGGCGTGATTCATTGGTGCCTAATCAGTTTATTTACTGATCTGAACAGATTTTTTCTTAGAACTTTGCAATAAACTAAACTAAATTTCATGGGAAATGACAAAAGTGAATACCTACATGGAAACTAAACACACAGCATTTTCCCCATTTCTAATATTTAGGAAGCTTTAAGCAGCAAGTAATAAAAATGCATGTTCAACATACAGAGATTAATCATATTATGCAAAAGAAATTTTTAGCAGACTAGGATGTAATTCATTAAGTCAGTAACGACCATGAGCTCAGGTTCAGGACTGAGGAAAAAGCCCAGATGTAGGAGCATACACAAGGCCCTGAGTTCAAGCCAGCATAAAAAAAAAGAATAAATAAGTAAATAAACAAATGTTGCTCAGGTGTTTTATACTTTCCCACACCATTATCCCTAGTGTATGGGCTCCTTTGGTTGGAAGACAAATGTACCTGTTTCTGGTACCACATCACTGTATGTTAATATCTAGAACAAAGAAGGGACTGTTTATTTATTGTCAAACCTTTATGTGTAATTATTTTTCATTATCTTGAAATAGTTGTAGAAAAGGGTTTCATTTCAACCTCTCAGTTTATTAGTATATTGCATCTTGATCACTGTTAATTTTAATGAGTAAAATAATCTTTCCCAGAAGTCTCTTCAATGACTTCCTCATCCTTCATTTTCTAAAGTCAAGTAACATGCTCATTCTTAAGCCAATCACAGCAAAAGTGAAAATGGCTACCACAACCAGCAGCATGGGTGAAGGAAGAGTAGCTCTTGTGTAGGCCAGCCATCCACAAACTCTTTGATTTGATGTACCTTAAGATGGTCCTTGTTTTTAAACTAATTGAACAAAATTTTTGAAGATAATAAAGAGATTTTTTATGGGCAATAGATATTAATATTTATTAGAAATTAAATTCTGAAATAAAAAGCTAAGAATCCATTTAAAATAACACTAAACTCACTAGTTGTTAATATTCTGTGGTTGAGAGAATAATAGCCCCTACTAATAATAGTCCACATGCTAATCCTTAAATTAAGGTTGGTGAGGTGGCTAGATTATCTTGGATTATCTAGAGAGTACCAATATAATTACAAGGGCAGTTATAATGCAAAAACAGGAGCAGATAGATGAGTATCACAGTGATGAAGTTTGAGGAAGATGTGTCTGGCTAGTGCAGGTTCAAAGATGTAAAGGGGTGATGAGTCAAATAGTGGCCTGAAGAAATTAGATTTTCTTCAAGGATACAGAAAGGAACAAAAGCCTGAAAATAACCTTGAGTTGAGCTGAGTGAAGCCTGTTTCTGATTTCAGACCTCATTAAAACTAGAATTACAAAATTTTGTGATTTAATCTACTGGTGTGTGTGTGTGTGTGTGTGTGTGTGTGTGTGTGTGTGTGTGTGTGTGTGTGTGTGTGTGTGTGTTGGTTCTGGTTTGCACATGGCTGGAAGTTTCGTGTGTGTGTGTGTGTGTGTGTGTGTGTGTGTGTGTGTGTGTGTGTGTGTGTGTGTGTGTGTTGGTTCTGGTTTGCACATGGCTGGAAGTTTACCACTTCAGCTACCTGGTATTTTTATTGGTTAACTGGAGATAGAGTTTTCTGGGTTTTTCTGTGTGGGCTAAGTTTTGAGCTAAGCAACTCCAGGTCTTAGCCTCCAGGATTCCAGGTATGAGCCACCAGAGTGCAGCTTGAGCCACTAGCTTCTAGCTCTGAGTTTGTAGTAATGTGCCACAGAAGCAAAGAGAAATAAGAAACACACATTTTCAAACTAACAGTAATTGTTTTCCAAAACAAAAAAAAAATAGTGAGAATAGAGGCAAAGACTTACAATTTTGTGGCACCGCTCTTAAATTCTGATGGAGGAAAAGAGAGGTGGATCATCTTGTCTCTAACATTAAGACTGTTGTGATAATCACGTATCACATTTTCTTTGAAAGCAGCTATAAACAGATGAAAGAAAAGAGTGAGTAAAAGCAAATAGCTTCTTGTTATCGCAACAAAAAATACTTTTGACTTCCCAGACTTCTTAAAATGGCTTCGGGGATTCCTGAAATCCCCATCCCACACTTTGAGGATCACTGGTTTACCATATCCTACAAAAGAACAGACTCTTTTTTCTCTCCTTACAGTTCTAGAGCAAACTTGCCTGGTGATACGGTTATCAGATCAATGTAATGTACCATTTTGACATTTCTTCATTAAGTCAAGCAATATTTACAATATTATACTTGGCGCTACACAGGCTGAACAAGTTAGATCCAGTCCTTGCCCTGGTAGAGCTTACATTTTAGTTGAAGAAAAATAATACACATATAAAGTAAAAAAAATTGCACATAATTATAAGGGATACAAAAATATGTAATGGGAGAAAGTGATGAGTATTCTGGATGGTGGGTAAAAAGCTACTTGAGTCTGCTGAAGTGAAATTAGAGCTGATATATGAATAATAAAGAAAACATGAGAGAACATTTCAAGCAAAGGGAAGAGCAGTAGCAAAAAGTAGAAAGGAGGTTGACAAGTTAGAGGAACAAAAGGAAAGTCAATGTGGCTTGACTGTGGTCCACCAGGGAAATGAACAAATTGGAATAGGAGAGTTGAAAGAGTGAGGCCGGTATATATAGATCATTAAGGTCTTGCTGAGCACAAAAAGGACTTAAGCCTTTATTCCAATTGCCATAGAAGCCCACTGGAGGAAGTAAGAGACTAAAATTCTCTTTGTTTTTTTTTTTTCCCCCTGTAAATTCTACCACCTTCTCTAAGGGCTGCTTTTAAACCCAACACATTCTCCATCTTGCTAATGATTGTCCAGAAAAGCAGAGGGATCTCAAATGGACACATCTTGTGGCACATAAATTGTTTGTATGTTAACATCAAAAACAGACAGCTCTGGAACCAATCAGGGGAATGTAAATTGCAGGTTGCTTGATAGAGAGTTAACTTCTACATGTTGGCCAGGGTAGGTGTACAGCCAAATTTGCACTGTGTGAATAAAATTGTTTGGCAGCTGCTGGTCTGTCACTTGTCCAAAGTAGTAAGTGTGTGAATGAATTCATATGGTAATGACTCTGAAATTAGCAACTACCTTTTGTCATCTTTCTATGACACAGGAAAACACACCAAAACTTGGCTTGTTTCTGGACAATTCTTGGGATGCTTCTCAGTTGCTCAGAATGCACATTTGGTCATCATTATCCCTTGTGTAATCAATTTCTACAAACTGCAGGATGATGTTACAGTTATGTTTAGAGAATAAGGGAACATGCTCCACACCTTAATCAAATCATCTAAAGATGAGTCTTCTTAGATAACATGCATTTAAGAAGATGCGGATAGTGGTGGTTAGATACTACTCTATATTTTATGCCACCATGAGAGAAGTAATCTTGTCTTCCACGGGAAACTTGGGAGATGAACCATGTGCCTAAAACTCTAAGGTACTTACTATAATATGGGAGAAATGTTTACTAGACAAGTTGTTCCACAATAAATTGATGCATAGAATCCACAAATACAGAAGTGGCTTGAACCTTGTTTTGAAAGAGTACAAGAATGGAAACAATCAAATATTTGGAGTTGAGTACCCACAACTCCAGGTGTAGTGCCCCCACCCCCGCATTTTTTTTTTTTTAAGGCTGGATCCATGTGAAGGAGCTTAATCACATTTTCAGGCCAGCTGTGGTTACTTTGGGACCTTGTCAGGAATGGCTTCCGAAAGATTTTTTTTCTTTCTTAAAGAATTCATTATTGTGAAAAATTACAGTAAACTTCAGAACAGACTGCATCAAAGAAAATTCTGTAATTCCAAGCCTACCTATTTTCAAAAGAATCTAATTGTGATCTCTGAATGCAATTATGCAGACTCTCTCTCCCTCTACTTGGGGAAGAGAGAAAGGAAGGATGATTTTGTTTCTTCAGTAAGAAGGAGTAATCAAACCTGTTGTTGGGGCCAAGCAAATCTTCGCGATTCTCTTGATTTCTTAGTGCTTAGGGAGTATGCTTGAAACCTGTGCTTTCCTCCCTAAATCAGATGAGCAGAAAAGTTTGCTCTAGCTATGATAAATCTGCACCACGCAGAGATGTTTTTGGCATGCGGTGTGTATTAGGAAGATGATAAAGATTCAGCTCTCCCCTGCACCCCCAATCTCGCAGCCCAGGAGTGGGTTTCGCCTGCGTGTAGGAAATGTCCTTCAGCTGCAGGCGTGTGTGCGCACAGAGCAGAGCCGGGGCAGGGCGACTCGGGTCGGCTGAGTGTCACCCACAGATGTGACCGGTCTTCCCCACCAGAGGCGGCCTCCTCCTTCCTCTCCCCTGCCCAGCTCCAACCCAAGGCCCGCGGCCCAGACCCGGGGGGGGGGGGGGGGGGAAGGGGAAGGAAGCTCTCGCCGCAAGCCGGCGTCTGGCCCGGCACAAATCTCGCCAACACCAGAAACTTTTTTTTAATTCCCCCCACACCACCTCCCCTAGCTGTGCGCAACTTTTGGCCTCTTCTCCCAGCACGCTGTCCCGAGCTTCTGTCCCCTGGGTCTGCTCTCCGCGCCTCCCTAGCGGCACGCGGGGACCCGGGCTGAGAGGGGGCGCAGACGGCGGGCGGCGGGGACGCGCGGAGGAGCCGGGGACCCGGCGGAGAGGGCGCGGCGCGGCGAGGCGCGAGGAACCGGTCGCAGGCGACGAGGACCGGCGGCGAGTGCCCGGGAAGGCAAGCGCCACCGCGGGCGGCTTGCGGGAGTCGGAATAAAGTTCGCGCCCTTTCCCCGGCGCTCCGCAGCCCTAGCCTCCACGTCCTCCCCCCCCCCTTCCTACACCCCCACTTTTTCTTTCTTTCTTTCCTTGACAGCTGGGCGCCGAGCGGCCACCTCCACCTCCACGCCCGCGCGGGGCTCCCCGGGGGGCTCCAAAGTTGTTTTTCTAGCCCCGGAAAGAGCCACACGGACACACAGAAAGGAGGGCGAGAGAAAGAAATAAAACAAACAGCCAGCCCCTAAACTAACAGGCTGTGTTGGTGGGGAGAGTGGTGAAATACACATCCCCTCCCCAGCCCTCCGAGCCCCCGGAAAGCCGGGGACAAACAACAGCCACAACCCCCAGGCGGGCTCCGCCGACGCCGCGCCGGGGACGCAGCCTGGCCGGCGGGACAGACTGGAAGAGAGGGGGTGCAAGAGAAACTTGTGGGGTTGGCACGGCCTCCCCGGCCCCGGCTCTCCTTGAGCAGCACCCCCCACCCCCCCTCCCGGGACAGTCCGTTCCTTTTTTGTTTTTGGCCCGAGGAGGAGCGAGGGGAAGCGCCGGGCCGGGCCGCGGGGAGCGAGCGCGACCCTGGGCGCGGGTGTAAATCAGTCACCTGAGCGCCGAGGGGCCGCGGCGAGGGCGCGCGCGGGCGGGCGGGCGGGCGGGCGGGCGGGCGGGGAGTGGCGGAGGCGGCGAGCGCCGAGCGGCCCGGAGGAAATCGGGAGGGGGGAGGGAAAGAAAGGCCGAGTCTGCGGGAGCCCCGGCGGCCGAGGGGCTGGTCCAGGCGCGGCCGCTAAGAGGAGACCAAGAGGCGGGGGCTGCACTTGACAACCAGCATGCCGAGATGGTAAGAAGTTTCCACCCTCCTTTTCCTTTTCCTTTAAAAAAAAATTCTGGACTTTGGAAGAAATGACCCCGACGCCGGAGCGTCCCCGGGGCCGGCCGGGAGCGGGGGGCGGTGGGGTGGGAATGGAGGGGTGTGTGTGCGGGGGGTGTGGGGGGGTCGTGTCGGCCTCCCCGGGGCCGGCGGCGTGAGGTGGAAGCGGCTTGTGTGTGGGGTCGCTTTGAGGGCGGGCAGGGGAGAGGAAACCCGGTCCAACCTGGTCCCAGCTGTGCTCCCGAAATCCTTCCCTAAACTTGGCCCCAAGTTTCCGAGGCGAGCTCCAGGTGGGAGGGCGCGCGAGTGAGCGAGTGCGTGTGCGAGCGGGGTGGCTCCCGCTCGGCCCTCCGGCCAAGGTGAGGAGCGGAGGCTCTTAGGGAGTTGGGGACCGGCGGGGGAGGGGGAGAGGATGAGGGGTGTGTGTTGGGGGGGGGACGCGGAGGATGAATGGAGCGCTGCTGTGAGGAGCTGGGGGCGCAGAGGAAAAAGCGCTTGGGATCCACGGTAACTTTTATCAACTTGCGAGCGAGTGAGGGACGGGTGGCCGGGCGTGGGGTGCCCAGGGCGCGCCGGGGGTGCCCGTGCCGACCAGCCCGGGGTACGGCCACCGGCCCAGGACACGTTTGGCTCATCCTCCCCCTCCCTTCGTAAAGTGAGGATGGTAAGAAACCTTCCTTCAGGTTTTTTCTTTGCTTTCTTTTTCTTTCTTTCTTTCTTTTTTTCTTTTTGGAAGAATGCGCAAAAACGCAGGGCCAGAGAAGCCACCTTGGCTATGCACGTGTGTGTTATTTCCCAAGTGCGGTTCTAAGACGTGTTGTATTTAACACATTTGATTGGAAGGGGGGGGGGGATCTGGGGCCAGAAGATGGAGCAAAACAAATATTTATTTATTTTTTGATCCAAAACAAAACTACATAAGATCTACAGGGAAAGTAGGGTAAGATTTTTTTTTTCTTTTAAGTTCCCTGTTGGAGGAAATGGGACTGACATTGCGAAGCAGCGAGAAGCCCGCAACAGCCCCTCTCTCTGCGAGCCGCTTCTCTGCAGCGAGGACTCCTGGGGCAGGGAGTCTGCCTGTGATGAGCCTCTCTGTCCATCTGCTCTCGGGGAGTGATTTGTTAGAAAAGGGCCCGACCACTCCCTTTTAGTTACCGTCCACCCCAGCGTGGCTCTTGTTACCTCCTCCCTAAGCATCTTGATCTACATACGGGAAGTATGTAGATAAAATATAAAAGAAAAAGGGTGATAACGGGTTGGTTCCCTCCCTCCTTTCTCTCTTCCCCTAATGTGACATCTCTTGTTGCAGTGATCAAAGTCACAAGTGAGGTGTAGGAGATGCTACTGTCAAAATGCAGGCACAGACACACACGCGCACACACACTCATACACCAATGCGCCCAGGACTGTGGTTACAGTGAACGCTGACAGAAATTAAAGTGGTTTTGAAAACAGCATGCGATTTATGATGGTTCCCATTTACCCCAGAGTCAAGCTGTTGTAAAACTGATGTACAAAAGACATCATACAATAACCTTGGGCGCGTAGGATTCAAGTGGCAGAAAGTGGCCTGTTGCATTTTTTAAAATTGTACTCCATGGACAGTTGTAGTTGTTGGAACCCGTGTTTAAGCAAGGCATTAAAAATATTAAATATGTCCATTGAGAGCTGGAGAGATTTTCATCTGATGGCATTTTACTGAAGAAAATTGTGCAAGCCAGTGTAGGTATTATCTTTCTTCTCTTTTTCCCTTAGCCATTATGAGCGTTTGTCTACACATCTATCCCTGTATATTACTCACTTTCAACAGTGGCAAAGATGATTTGTCATTCACTATTTTGTATTCTGCAGTTTTAAATATTACTGTGCATACATATACATGCTTTAATTGCGGTTTACTTTTGGCATTAGTACTTAGTGTGTCTGATCTGAAGAAGCACTCTAGTAGTGAGACCTTGTACAAGTTAATAGAACTTCCTTTTACCCTTTGGAATCACACACGCAGAAATCCCTTGTGAACCTTTAGAGAGGCTCTGTATTTTATATCATACTTGTAGCTGTTTCATTTAAGCTGTTCAGTCTTAATGAAGTTCTTAGTTGTAGCTACTCATTGTGTTCCCAGAGAGCAGTGTATTTGAAATCCATATTGCTAATCACTTTACCAAAGTATGGGAGTATCTTCACCTCAGGGAAGTAATACTGAGCATGAATGTGAACTTTATTTAGAGGATCTTGTGAGATAGGTCTGAAATGCCACCCACATCCATTGAGAATATTAAGGGGGTTATGTTTGTGTGTAAAATTTTGACTATGAATTGACCCCATGTGATTTTTAAGATAAATATTTAGAGACTATTAATAGCAGTAGTACATTCTTAATACCTGTTGTTTTTTTTTTTCCTCCTACCTGAGATGTAAGTTATCTGTCAGGCAGGGATATGTGATTGCAAAAAGAAGCAGACAAAAGCAGAGCTGACTATTGCTGTATTAAAATGTAAGTGTTACAGTTTGAATTTTCAAGTGAGAGTTTTTGAGTTCAGTGCTTTACATAACATTTTGTCCTAATCTTGCTTGCTGTCAGGGATGTTTCATGGTTGTGCAATTGCTGCAGTCAAGAATGCCAATTTGCATTCCAGGAGTGTCATTTGATTACTTTTATCTGCGCAGCTCCAAGACCGGCCCAGACCTCTCGTTTCATCTTGCCATGTCACGAGTCAATGCTGTGTCGTCTTTTCAAAAATCTGCCTGATTTAGACAAGAAAGAAAAGTACTTTCATGTTGCAGCCGCAGTCCCCTGCTAACTTGTCAGCAGCAGGATATGATTCACTTGGGCCCAGAAGAATGGAATAGAGAGGCGGGTTAGGCCGTTCAATAAAGCCCACGGACAGGTAGTGTGTGACATCCCCAGAGAGCCACAGTTAATGAAGAACAGGTCTGCTTAGTTCTCCACACGCTGACCTGGTGCTGTCCCCACAGTTTTCTCATTTGATCTTTCCCAGCAAATTGATCTTTTCTTGTATTTTTTTTTTTTTTTTTGCCTTCCAAGTTAGTCCTTGTGGGACTGAAATTAGCAGAGCAACTTAAGTTGGATAATACAGCTGTTCAGAAAAGAAGAAATTGGACACTGGCGCAGAAGAAGGATGGGGGTGGGAGGGTAGATGGAGCTATTCTTTTTGTTGTTTCTGGGAATATTTCTTACATGAAGGGAGTCCAAAATAGGTGATGACTTGGAGCCAGTGGTTTCCTTTACTTGTAATTTTAGAGTTAAGGTTCAGCACTGTTTTAAATATCCTGTAAGTATTTGCAAGATGGCCTTAGTAGTGGGTGTGAAGAGTTTGATGTAGTGTTGTCCGTACTCTCACTTATTTGGAGTGATTTGCCAGTGGACTTTGGCTTTTATGGCTATTGTAAGATGGACTAAATATCAATGGCATAATTCAACTATATTATTTATGGTCTTTTAAATAACTACAATACCGAAATAACCAATACTGATTTACAGAAAAGATTAAACAATAAAAAAGTCATTACCAGTGTTGTATATAAATATTACGGTACATGAAAATGTTTTCTGCAGAGTACTACAAGCATCTTTGTTTCACGTAAACTCTGCAGATACACTGTTAAATAGTTTCTCTCTGCAAGATTTTGTGTTTAAATGTAATCTTTTAGAATTCAGACAAATTCGCAGGTTTGGAATGTGGATGTTCACACACTGTTTTTTTTAGATTTAAATTTTATACACTGTGCAAATCTAAGTTAGAAATGTGTATATAGTTTATACAGGTTAGAGTTTCACTACAGAAAATTGTGTACACACAGCTTTAGTTGGAAGCAATTAATAGATTCTTTGCTTGATGCATAAATGAAGAGCAATGCTTTTTTAATTCCTCTGCAGATGGTCTCATTTACCATCTACATCCTGACAAGAAACAGAGTTGAAAACAATATTTCTTGTGGAAGGGGAGGCAGTCGTCTCAAATCTTTCCTTGTTGGATAAGAATTACATACAATCATTGGTTGGTAAACTCCTCTCTAAAGAGCTAGAGGGAGCCTCATGATTTTATTAGATATACTTAAGGCATTATATAAAAAAAGAAAGCACTCTGGCAATCAGAATGCTGCACAAAGTAGCTAATGAATACTGGCTTGGGGTTTAGGACTGTAGGTGCTGTTTCATATATATTTTTAAATTTTCCATTTTTTTTAAAGAAGGACAGAACTTTCAACAAGAACAGTTAATCAGCTAAGCTTTCTAGGATTGCATCTTTTAGGTGATTTGAGGATCAGTGAAACTGCAACCAAATACATTTTAAGTGTTTTGGTTTGCCTAAGTACTGTTTTGTCATTTTGTCACCTGATGAGTGACTTTCATCTTGTGGGAGGGGCATTGCCCACCTTCCAAGTTTCTATTAAAAGTACCTTCTACCCTATCACTGACAGTGGGATATCTCAGTTTAGTTTACAGGGGCTGCCCCCTTCCCATATATGATGATTTTGAAGTCGTTTTATGTTCAGTTGCTATATTCTAGGAAGAATATTTCTCCAAAATATATTTCATGTTATAAGCTTACATAAATGGTGAACATTGATAATGCTATTATATTAGGAATCAATCTAAATTTAAAGTGTAGGACTTAAATGATTTCAAATGTAATATTTGTCATTTAATTTCACATTTGTTTATCAGTCTTTTCACTAAAATTTGTGATATGTTTATATTAAAGAGCCTTTGATCATAATTACTCCTTAATATTTATATACTAGTTTTTAGGAGCATTATTTTGAACAAATTTTTTTATCATTTAAGTAAATAATATAATCCAGTGAGATAAATTGCCCAGATTTGTCTTTTTTAAAAAAAATCTCTTGCACAGTAGCTCTCATTATGTTGCTAGCCAATAAAAGTCTTTATTTGTGGCTTATTAGAACCCTCAGTACACTCAAAAGTTCAGCTATAATTTAATTTG